TGGCTCCTGGACCTCACGTCTTCTTACTCGTCTTACAGATCGGACGCTTCACACAGGAGGAAAAACAAACAGTGGAACTGATCAGGACATTCTTTGGTAAGAAGGCTGAAGACTTTATCATCATTGTTTTCACCAGAGGAGATGATCTCAGGAAGCAAACATTTAAGAGTTACATAGAAGAAGGTGAAGGTTTTGTCAGGAAACTAATAACTGAATGTGGACAGAGATACCTGGTCTTCAACAACAATGATTGTAATCATTCTCAAGTTAACGAGTTGCTGCACAAAGTTGAGGAAATGATGAAGAAAAATGGTGGTGGCCATTATACCTCAGAGATGTTTGAAGAGGCAGAAGCAGCCATACAAAACGAAATGAACAAGATACTAAAGATGAAAAATGAAGAAATACAAGAACTAAAGAAAAACTTTGAAAAGAAACATGAAGACGAACTACAAGGTACAAGAACCAAATCTGAACTAAACAATCAGGTGGTCCAAAAAATTAAGGAAAAGGAGGACGCAATTAAGAGAGAAAAAGAGAGGGTGGAGAGAGAGAGAATAAAAAGAGACCAAGAGAAGAAGAACAAGGAAAAAGAAGAGGAAGTGAAACAACATGAGTGGGATCAAAAGGACAAAAGCCTGCAGAAAAAGATTACACCAAGTAATAAACCTATTGCTACAAAAATGTTATTACAAAGCAGAGAAGAAATAAGGAAAGACCGAGAGCTTTGGGAGAAGGAGAGGAAGGAATGGTGGGAGAAACAAACTCGTGAGGAAGAAAAGAAACGTGAAGAAGAACAGAAACGACTCGAAAAGCTCAGAGAAGAATACGAGCAGGAAAAACAGATCTATGAACGGAAAAGACAAGAGGAGGACCAAATCCGAAGAAAACAGGAGCAAAGAGAATGGAAGGAAGCACAAGACAAGTTTAACAAGCATTTAGAGGAAATCCAAAAGAAAAACTACCAGGAAGCCAGAAAGCAAGCTGAAGAATTCAATGAATTCAAACAGAAATACACCAGAGATGTTTCAGCTGAGCTGCAAGAAGTGAAACAGAGGGAGCAACAACAAAAAGAAATGTTAATAAAACAACTGACAAAAAACAAAACCCTTCAGAAAAGCTTTGACATGATGCAGAAAAAACAGAAAGAAGAAATGAAAGAGCTCAAATCTACAGTCTGTTTCCACAGCAATGAGGAAATCCAAAAAGAAATCACCAGGCTAAATATAATGCATGAGGACGAGAAAAACGAGTGGATACAGGAACAGGTGCGGAAAGGTGCAGAAAACCAGAGCTGCAACATTTTATGAGAGGTTTTTATAGCTGCATCAAGATGTGATGAGTTGTGTGCAAAGAATAACACATTACACACACCGAAGAAAGAAAAACAAATAAATCAAAAAGAAAAAAATAAACAGGTCCTCTGGATGGGTTCTTCTTTAGTGAAACGTTATTTTTTCTTTTTGATTTTTTTCTACCTGGATTACTGAGATGCATTAGAAAAAAACAAATAAACTTCTCTGAAACATACAGAAACTGATGACTATAAACACGTTACTTTTACTAAAAACAACAAATGAAAATCAGCCACTGGGTTTGAATTATGTTAAAGACAACAATTTCTGGACAGAGGTTGGACTCTGTCCGACTGTGGAGTTGCTCAGGGACAGAGACATCAGGCAGGTGTGGTTAGGGTTAGGGTTACACACCCTCAGCTCCTCTGGTACCAGGGTTCTGTTGTTCTCCTGGGTGACTTCAGTACCCATGTGGGCAATGGTGGAGTTACCTGGAAGCAAGTGACTGGGAGGGACCACCTCCCTGTCTGAATCTGAACAGTGTCAGGGGATTCTGATGTTATCAGTCCATTAAATGGACGTTATTAGGTGTTATCAGTCCCATTCAATGGCTTCAGAGGGTCCCTAACTGTGCCTTCTAGGCTTCAGACTGTCCCGACAGTGCCCCCTAGTGGGTTAATATATAAATGACAATGAATGTGTAAATAACCAAAAGAAATGGTAATAAATGTTTTTGTGTCTGTGTGGGTCTTGAGCCCTGGCCTGCCGCTCTTTGGTCTAACACTCTACCCATTGTCCTATTGGATGGACTGTTGGAGGGCGGGGTCTTTGGCACTAACCATGCCATTTGCTCTAAAGTTAACGTTGGTGGCTTTATGCCTCATATTAACCAGATTGTGGCTTTGTGCCTCATACTAACCAGCTGACAATCGGAACCCATTCTATGGGACGGGGAACCTGCTAACCAGCACAAGCGGGACATTCTGAAGGCAATCTAGGGGAGTGATAACGCCTAATAACGTCCATTTCATGGATGATAACATCCGAAGCAGGTGACAGTGTTCTGTTATCAGACCACTGTGTCAGGAATGAGCTGTCCATATTGAACACTACTAGGTACCAGGCCACCTTAGGCCAAAGGATGATGATCTATGTTGTCATTTTGTCCTCTGACCCGTAGCCCTTTATCCTGGAAACTCAGGTGGAGAGAGGACAGAGCTGTCAGTTGATCATCACCTGGTAGAGAGTTGCATTCAGTGGCTGGAGAAGTTGTCAGACAGACCTTGTAAACCCAAACAGATACTGAGGGTAAACAGTAAAAGTCTGGTGGACTCCTGTCTGTGTGAGTTTCAGAGATAGAGATCTTCACTGCAGAGTTTTCATATGTCCTGGGTAAGATCAAGAAGTGGAAGCACTTTAAGGATCTCTTTAATTGGTCTTGTATGTCCACTTTTTAGGAGGCAGAGTCTGAAAACTCAGGGGAGGATGAGTCCATTACCATGGCAGAGGTCATCAACGTAGACATAATGATCCTCGGTGCCAGGGCTTGACGAGACTCTTCTAGAGACGTTGAAGGTTCTGGATGTTGTGGGGCTTTCATGGTTGACGTGTCTCTTCAACATCAAACTGAGGACTGGGACAACTCCTGTGGAGTAGTGTTCGAACTATCGTACAATCAAACTTCTCAACCTCTCCTGGAAACTTTACTCCAGGGTTTTTAAAGGAGACACTGTTGTTGAACTTCAGATTCAGGAGAAGTGTGTCTTTCATGCTGGTCGTGAAACAGTGGACCAGATCTTCACCTTGAGTTGAGTTAATAAGAGGGTCACGAGAGTTTATTTTTCCATCTTCTAACCAGGCAAATTCCATGGAGATGAACTCTTTTGTAAAGACATTTTTGGTCTGTGGGAGGAAATTAGAGAGCATACGATCCTAAATGCAATCTTTACAAAGAAAGACCTCCGGTCTGGACCAGGGACCAAACCCAGGACCTTCTTGCCTTAAAGCCAGTTGGACTCTCCAGACCACACGCAGTTTGTGGACCTGGAGAAGGCTTATTGACCATGTTCTCTGATGCATTCTGTGGAGGATGCTGTGGGAGTACGGGGTGTCTGGGTTGATTTTAAGGACTATCTAGACCCTGTAGAGCCAAGGCAGGAGCTGTGTCCGTATTCTTGGCAGAAAGATGAGTTTGTTCTCATGTTCTCAGGGTTGTCTTTGTCTCCAGTCCTTGTTGTGATGCTTGTGGACAGGATCTCATGGCACAGTCATTGAGAGGAGGGTGTCTGGTTTTTCATCTCTGCTGTTTGTGGATGATGTGGTTCTGTTGGCGTCTCTGGTCCACGATCTCAGTTGAGAGTGACGTTTCTGGGATGGGAGTCATGGTTCTAAACTTAAAATGTGTAGAACGCCCCCTCCAGGTCTGGAAGGTGTCTTTGCTTCAGGTTGAAGCATCTCAGAGACTGGAACCGGAGATGCATCAAGGGATCTGGACCACGTCCTCAGTAGGAGGGAGTTGCTCCGGTCAGTGGTGGTGAAGAAAGAGTCAAAAGGCAAAGCCTTCAATTTACTGATCCATTCCAACCTCATCTATGGTTATGAGGTTTAAATCAGGTCCTAAAGAACCAGATCTTAGGTACAAGTGGCTGAAATGAGCTTCATGTGTGGGCTGAGCAGCTCCTTTCATCAGTTTTAAGTTGTTCATGTGAACTTTGTGGGTTTTCTTTATAAACTAATTTGCCTCATCAGGTAATTGTTGAGTAGCACAAAATAAAATTGTACTTTTAACCTTTGAACTCAATCTGCCAAATGATTTTATATGTATATAATACTGCAGGTGTAATGAGAAGTAATTAGTTTAAAATGTTTCTGTTTGGCCCGGACTAAACTCTCAGAGAGGATCGAGATCTTCTGCTGCAGCTCTGAAGCTCTGGATGATCTACCTCCATCCATCAGGCCTCAAACCTCACCGCTTGTTTTTAAAATAATTCTTAAATATATTTCTGTTCACTGCCTTTTAATCCAACATGAGACCTTGTTCTGTTTCAGCTGTTTTTGCTTGATTTTGTTGTTCTTGTTGTTGATTTGTTTTATTGTTTTGGCCCCATGTACAGCACTTTGTTTCAGCAGCCGCTTTGTGAATGAAGCTGATTTCAATTGATTTGATTTAAAATCAGGAGAGAAGGGATGCAGTAACTTCAGTGATTTTTTTAATAACTCATGGATGAGGTTAGTTTGGTGTTATTTTTGTTTGTTTTTAATCTTTAAATTTTTTTGGTATCACTTCTTTACATGTTGGCTTACAGACAGCAAAAGTCAGATTTATTCTGTGTTTTTTTTTTTTTTTTTGCTCAGATTGAGAGCTAAATGTCTAGAAATTATGTTTAACTTGTTTGTTTCAAAATAAATCACATTAATGTGAGTGCAGATTTTGTGTGATTTGTCCAATAGATATTTTACTTTGAATTCAAAGATCATGAACCGCATGTGTTTTATTGACTCAAATACAGTAAATATGATGTAAATATGACAGGTAGAGAAATATTTTATCTTCAGTCTGAACAAGAGGAGACGCTTCATCCAACTTCCACATGTTGATGGATGTGACCGAGGAAACCTGTTTCTAAAGCTCGTTCTCTGGTCTGAGTGTTGTGAGGACGTCCTACACACCTGTATGGAGCACCCCGGCAGGTGAGAGCCTCTTACCTGTACTGTACAACCATCATGTTCTGCTCTCCACAGTGCCTGGCGCAGCGGATATATCTCATCCAGCTGGACTTACTGGGATCATTTCCATCTATAAAGTGCTGCAACGTTCCCTCTGCGTCATAAATCTGAAACAGGTAAAGACAGAGAGGTGACAGTGTTGACAGGTAACCTGTTAAACATCACATGATGACATGATGTGTTTGAGTAACGACTGATAAAACCTTTAAAAAGAAAACACCTCAGTAATAATTCATCCACTCTTTTTCTGCAAGTGTGTTTTGAGTTGATCAAAAACAGTACTGTGTCAGCATTTTTGTTGATTAAAAAAAAACGTTTGATACTATTAACTACAGTATTCTTTTGGAAAAGTTAAATAAATATGGTATTAGAGGACCTGCATTAAAATGGGTCTCTAGTTATTTGGAAGATAGAAAATAATATGTAGAAATAAATAATGTAAGATATGAGTTTTGTAACGTCTCATGTGGAGTGCCGCAGGGTTCCATTCTCGGACCTAAGTTATTTATTTTGTAAGTGAATGATTTGGTCAATGTGTCAGGTCTTTTTGGATGTGTTCTATTTGTTGATGATACAACATTCTTCTGTTTCGGTAAAGATATTGAACAAATGTTGGACATGATACAGACAGAATTTGTGAAAATACAAAGTTGGTTTCAACTAAATAAATTATCATTAAACTTGGACAAGACAAATTATATGATTTTCTGTAACAATAAGAGAACTGTAGATGTTTCATTTAAAATTGATGATGTAGAGATCTGTAGAGTCAGTGAAGTGAAGTTTCTAGGTGTCATTATTGATAAAAAACTGACATGGAAACATCATATAAATGGTTTAAGAACAAAAATAGACAAATCTATTGGAGTCCTGYACAAAGTAAGAGAACTGTTCAATGATAAATCACTGTTTATGTTGTATAACACTATAATTGTTCCACATTTAATTTACTGTGTTGAAGTCTGGAGTAAAGCTTGTAAAACTATCACAAATCCTATTTTTATTTACAGAAAAGAGTTATAAGAGTTATTACTAAAAAATTACAGCCATCCATCTAATATAATGTTTCATGATTTGAAATTATAAAAACCTTATGATTTGGTTGATTATAATATTTTAGTGTTAATGTACAGAGCTCATAAAGGTGTGTTACCTTCAAACATTCAGGTAAATTTAGTTAAAAGACAGAGTTATTATTATCTTAAAGGAACAGAAATGTTTGTGAACCCTGGTTTGGTACGAGCCTGAAGGAGAGATCCACTTTAATCCAGGGATTAAGATTATGGAACAGCCTGGAAGATGAGCTTAAAAATGACAGAAACTTGTATTTATTGAAGAGAATGATAAAAACTAGTATTCTGAAGAAATATGGAGAATTATAAGTGAATTCATGMTAATTGTTGTTTGAGTTGGTGTCTTAAATTTTTTAATTCATTTTTAAATGTTTTAAGTTGTTTTGATTTTTGTTGTATTTTACTTTTCTTTTGAACATATTTTGGGTATAAAAAATGGGCAGCTATAAGATTTATTCTTCTGCTGCTGCCTTTCATTTTATTTGATTTTATTTTTGATTGCATGATTTTTGTACTTTGTTAATTTGTGTTACAAATGTAATGAATGAAGAACTAACACTACTAATGTGGCGATGATGAAGGTGGGTTTAGTCGTTGTAGAGGTCATTAAAACCAGTTTCAGATGTAAAACCAGCTGCAGTTCAGAATCATCAGATACAAAAGGCTGCAGTGAAGTCACACCTGGTCAGATCTGAACCTGTGGACTTCACTGAGCGTAAAGTCTGACTTTAAAGGTCATGTGCCGTGTATATTTTATAAATACACAAAGTGAAACATATCTAAGAACCTTGGCATAATACACACAATTTGACCCATTTTGTCACATAACTGTCATGTTTTCTTTTGATTTTGACTCAGTGGAAGTGAAACAGGAAGTGACATCAAAGGGGAAGTCTTTAAGAAAAGGAAGTCTCAGGTTTTTATTTATTGAAACAAACTTATTTGAACTCTGACTCATCTTCATCTCTCTGATAATGACTCAAAATAATCTAAAGAAACATCTAGTTCTTCTCTACGGTCTGTGTTGTTAGCTGTTTTAATAACACTGTTCACATGCTGACATTCTCCTGTGACATCACTTCCTGTTTCTTCACCTGCAAATATCTCAACAACCAATCATCTCAACAGCTCGAAATTTGTTTAGTAAAATGTTCGAAATGTTGACTTTACAAAAATGACTTTGTGCTTATTACTAAAATTTGATGTCACAGGTACTTTAAAATATTTTTACTGTTCTGTCTCTGAACACTAAAACAACCCTCAGTATTTCTACTAGAGTAGTTTTACTACTGTATTTCTNATTTCTACTAGAGTATTTGTACTACAGTATTTCTACTAGAGTATTTGTACTACTGTATTTCTACTAGAGTAGTTGTGCTACAGTATTTGTACTAGAGTAGTTGTACTACAGTATTTCTACTAGAGTAGTTGTACTACTGTATTTCTACTAGAGTAGTTGTACTACACTATTTCTACTAGAGTAGTTGTACTACTTTCATCTGATCTGCGACCGTATGTCTTGGACACTCGGGTGAAGAGAGGGGCGGAGCTGTCAACTGACCACTACCTGGTGG